ATATATAGTCTGTGTGGATTCCTGTGTGCAGCATAATCCCATTTTGTCAGATTTCGTTGTTTCATTTGTCTGTTGGCACAGTTGGAGTATATACATATTTAAAGAATGAGTAGACCGATCACAGTCCAACATTATTATTTCACCACCATTAGACAACTATAAACTCCTGAATGCAAAGTAGCACTAAAACTAATCAGGTGCTGTTTGTTTGTGCAAGACCAAAACACAGAGTTGACAAGACATTAGCACTGGTTGTCAAGCGCTTAGCTTTTTCAAAGCAGGACGCTACCCACAGTTTCATTCCCGCTCCACACACTCTGCTGGTTTAAAAAATGCAGCTAAATGGGCACAGAGAGCAGCCGTGGAGGAGGGGGGCTCTAACCACCTGCACCCACGCCCACTGCAGGGAAGATGGAGAGTGATACATAATCCCACTGAATGTGGAGGCACTGGCAAGTAAAAAAAGTTAGATGCTGCAAAGATTTACACAGGGAAGTAGTTTACATTTTTTAACATTTAAGCACTTGTGTTAATCCAAGACATAGACAAGGACTACACACAGACAGCAGACCTGCACACACCTCTATACACACTACATATGAGGCCATATTTCACACATGCGCATTAGAAAGCATGAGAACTCCCTTTCTTATTGTGTTTGGCTGAACTACATAAAACAAAGTAAAAGAAAAAGAGGAGATAGTTTATGCAGCAGCTTCACAAGAATAGGGCATCACATGGAGCTTTGCAGAAAGGCAAAGGCAGAACCAGGAGTTGGCCTTTACTTGCTGCTTCTAATTCTTTACTGTTAAGTACGTGACACTGAAATGTTACTCATATCTCTCTTCTCATTGCAAAGTGTATTAACACACAGCCCTCACTCCTCTTGGAAGGCTTTAAACAAGATTTTTAAACCAGGCTGCAGGGATTTGCTGCTATTCAGCCCCAAGAGCATTACTGAGGTTAGCCAGCTCACAGTCAGCATTCCAATTTATCCCCAAGGTGCTGGATGTGTTTCAGATGAGGGCTCTGTGTTTATACCAGTCAGATTTTTTTCACACCACATTTTTACTGACCATGTTTTGTACATAGGGGCTTTGTCATTTTGAAACAAATAAGGGTCTTTACAAAACTGTTGTCACAAAGTTGAAGCACACTCTTGCCTGTAATATCGGCGTATGCTGTTGCAGTTGCTGTTTCGATCCTTGAAGTGGTTATAACGAACATTTTCTAACAGTAATGTATCAAATGTGGCACTGTGAAACAAACGAGATTGAGAAAGAAGGTGCTCACCAAGGCAAACAGTATAGAAAACGGTCACTTCATCAGCTTTATAGTAAGATTTAACTCATTGTTAAGTTGTCAGCCCAATGACTTTACTGTTTTGTTTGCTCTCACAGAGTCATTTTTAGCTGCAGCAGACAGCTTTTCACAAGGAACACCCACTGTATACTTCCTGTCCAGCATCAAACAGCAGATAGACACAGTTAGAGACTGGAACTGGATGGTAAGCATAGTGGAGCATACAGCAGTCAATGAGTCACATTTTTTTCCTAAAGAACTGGTAGTGACTACAAACTGCTAAATGAACACTGAAGCAAACTGCTAAATGTTGGTGACAAGCTTACACTATGAACTTAAAGTGGCATGTTAATGTTTGTGAACCCTTTAGAAGTTTTAACATTTCTGTACAAATATGACCTAAAACATCATCAAATTTTCACACAAGTCCTAAAAGTAGAGAAATAGAACCCTATGAAACTAATTTTAAAACATTTCATGTTTGGTAATTTATTTATTGAAAAAAAGGTCTAATATTGCATATCTATGAGTGGCAACCGCAGGTGAAGCTCTAAAATTAGCATCAAGTTTGAAAACAACATTCAGGTGTTTTCTACCAGTGGAATAACAGTCAGGTGTGAGTGGAGTTTCTGTTTTATTTGAAGAACAGCGATCTATCAAAGTCTGATCTGCACAGCATGTTTGTGGAAGTGTATGATGGCACGACCCAGAGTTTTCTGAGGATCTCAAAAAAGACTTGTTGCTCGGCAGGCTAGAAAAGAACATCTTGTAAGAGTTTGGACTCCACCAAATAGACAGTCAGATGAGTTGTGTACAACTGGAGGAAATTCATTGCTTTTTTTAGACAACTAAAGGCCTCTAACACCAGCTGATGTTATTTTTCATGAGTACGCTATCAGGAAAACACTGAACAACACCAGTGTACATGGAAAGGCCAAATGGAGAAAGCCACTGCTCTCCAAACAGAACACTGCTGACCGTCTGCAGTTTGATGAAGATCACGTTGACAAGCCAGACGAGAATTGGATTGGAGTATTTTGTGGATGGATGAGACCAAAATTGAACTTTTCAGTTTCAATGAAAAGCATATTGTTTGGAGAAATGAAACCACTATGGTTCAGCAAAAGAACCTGATCCCACCTGTGAAATATGATGGTGGTACTAACAGAGTTTGGGCCTGTTTTGCTGCATCTGGACAATCACATCACCATCACTGATGAACAATAAATTCTATCAGAAAATTCAACATATGTTTCTGTAAGTCGAATCTTAAAAGAAAGCGAATCATGCAGGAGGACAACAGCCCTGTGCAAACAAGTCGCACAAAGAACAGTTAAAGAAGAAAGTGAATGTTTTGCAATGCCCACATCGAAATTCTGACCTTAATCCAATAGAAATGTGGAAAGACCTAATTGAGCAATTCATGTACAGAAACCCATCAACATCCCACAGTTGTTGGCAGACAAGACAGCAGGGTTGATCAGCATTTATGGGAAACATTTAGCTGCAGTTATTGCTGCGTCCACTTGAAGCTTTCCTCTCCTTTTTTTTCTTTGATTGCTTCAAACATTTGTTTTCTTGTGGACAGAGAGCTTGAAGTATATAGTTATACTCCAAAATGGGATCTTGGTCTCTTGTTTGTGGGTGAGAACAAGAACTGTTTGAAGTACCTTTCTGTGTAATATTGCACATTTAAATACTTTTGTCTCATAGGTTTAATTGGCTTCTCTTTATCTACTGAGAAGACCTGCATGAAAATCTGAGGAGGTCATATTTATGTAAAAAATATAGAAACTTTTAAGAGTTCATAAGCTTTCAAAAACCTCTGTAATAAGTGATGTGTCAGTGGGTGATGTGTGGGCAAAATGCGGACAGATCTGCTCTTCAGTGTGGTTCCAACCACAGAGCAGATGATATCCAGCTTTTTCAATTCAGCATCTGAATCAGGTTTGTGTAGTAATTAATGCTTTGTTTATCGGAATAAACCCCAAAACAACTGTTCATTAAAAGTGGGTGTGGAACTCTGAAAAGAAAATTCTGGCAAATTAGCAAGAACAGTTTTTGTCATAAACATAGGAAAACTTTTCTCAGGTCTTCTCAGAGGTGAAGTTAAGCAGAATCGGACGTGTTAGTAGGTTTGACAGCTGTGAAGTTCATGGTTTGATCCCCACCAAGGAACCTTTGGTCACCTGTGTTTCTTGTTATAACTGTGATGAATAAGAATGATTAGATCTGAGCTTTCACCTTGACCCAGTTGGTCCATCTAGTTCAGGTAAAAAGCAGATGCTCTTGACATTTTGTCCACTCAGCGAGTACGTCTTTGCCAGTAAAAAGTCTTGAGATCCCCCGACGATGTTCCTGGTGTCCGTGTTCAGTAGCCGGAATCCCATTCTGTTTAGAATATCCTGGCTGTATTACACACTGTCCGTCATAACTGCGACTTATTTTTCCACCCTGTGTTTGACTGGAGTGCGCAGAGAGAGGAGAAGAGCGAAAGTAGCCAAAGGCTTTGCCGGCACCAGTCCCCAGACCCCTCATTTAACAGCAGCAGGAAAGTGCTGCCAGGGAGCAGGCTGCCTGTGTGTATGTGTGGTGATTTAAAGTGTATTTATTCTGTAGCTTGTAGCTTGGGGAACAGCTAGCGAGCCTGCCAGAGATGAGCAATGATGGGGCGCACACAAACACACACACACCCATAACCACACACGCCCACGATGTCTGGGCCTCTCCACTGGGGCCCAACGATCTTCACTTACCCTTCACCCTCCTGAAAGGGAAAGAGAGCGGGGTGGAAAGGAGAGATTATAAAATGCTGAGAGATAGAGACAAGGGCCAAGGAGGCACAATATATGAATGGAGCTGAGAAGAGGAGAGAAAGGAGGGGAAGTGATTAAATATAGCATAGAAAAAACAAAAGTTTAACTGGAGAAGAAAATAGTTGGGATGAAGACTGGAGAAGAAGTTGAATAATGTTAGATACTGTACCTGAGAGGCTCACTGCGCACTCAGGAACGATACAGGGTGTCACCCTCCTAAAGGTCACCAGCAACGGCGCAATACTCTACAACATGTATGTGTTCTCGTATTTGTGTCTGTGTGTCTGTATGTGTTGTGTGTGGGGCAGCATGTGTGCATGTGTGTGTATGCTGACATCTGTCTGTTCATGACCTTGTGTGTGTGTGTGTGTGTGTGTGTGTGTGTGTGTGTGTGTGTGNTCTCTCTTTTTTGACCTCATTTCTATTCCTTTCTCACCCCGACTGCTGAGTGTCACATCATAAAGGGCCAAGTCTCTCTTGCAGCGTGCATGTGTGCGTAACAGGCTCGTGATTAGCTGATGTAAAGCGAAGGATGGCTCAATAGATCTCTTCATTAGCTGTCATCCCTTGTAATGAAGCGATAAGACAGGAGATAAGTATCCACCCACACAGACACACAAACAGGCGAGCGTCACACTCATTTATGCTCCATCAGATTCAAGCCAGCTAGGTCAGACCTATTCCATGTCACCTAGTAAAAATAAAACTAAAAAACTGCTCAAGGTCAATGGAGTGCCTGTCTGTCTTTTTTCCCCATTCTCTGTCTCACCCGTCCGTCTCTGTCCTCTTTCACCCTCACCAACAGTCAGCTGATGTGACAATATATTACAAAATGTCAAAATTATTCAGTTTTTATTCATGTCTGCCTGTGTGTTTTTGCAGCCTTTTGGTGTGAACCAACCAGGTCCCTATGTCATGTACACCACACTGGATTCCAATGGCTACCTGAAAAACGCCTCAGGTAAGTATTTCTTTTATCATTCCAACTTTCACTGCTAATGCTAAACTACTGTGGTCAGTGATAGAGGTTAGCCAAAGACATTTATTTTTCTGAAAATGGCATCACCTAAGATTTCATACAGGCTTATTAATAACTTAACCTCCTAACAGTGACAGGAGTCCTTCATCTGGCTGAACTCCACAGGTCTGGTTTTGGAGGATTTTGAGAAAGTAGAAATTGAGAAGAAGGGGGGCTTATTGATTTTATTTTCTCGTTTTCTCTTTCTATAAATGAAAACAGCCTCTATGCCTCAAAGTCAAAGGCTGCAGTAGAAAGGGCAGCTAAAGAAAAGGCAAAAATATACTTCTGGACTGTGCACAGTTCACACTGATTCAGTCTACATTTTAAAGACATTTTAGGCCTCGTTAAAAAACTGAAGTTCTTAGCTTTTCCTTTACCTCTTCTTACATTTGTACCTGTAAAATGTTCTAGTATGTATGTGATTACAGTAAAATCAATATTCAACTATTGTTTGTCTTAATTTAGTTTTAAGTTATGTGTCCAAGATAAGCAAAACGACTGATCAGTTACAGAGCCTGGAATCACTGCAGCGGTGCTGTCTGTGGGATTCAGGTTTCTCATAGTTTGTGTAGGACTAATATAGAAAAACACAGTAAGAGCTTGCAAAGCACTGGGGGCCCATTTCTCCTCTGAAGTGCTTCCTTCACAGAAGCTACACTCAACAGACTGTAGCTTCCTCTTTTATTTTATTTGCTTTTGATTTAAGTCCAAGGTGCATGACTTTCTCAAAAGCACCAGCATCACAAGATCTGTGAATCTGCTGTTTGGTTTTTGTTTTGTCATACTGGTGAGTAGTTCCCTTTATATTTAGGACTTGTTTTGACACACAAGTTTATAAGGCTTGGTAATTATGGATGGATGTAGTTAGGAGTGCTGGAAGTTAAACTCCAGTTAATGTGTTCTGAGAAGTTGTTTCTTTTGTTATGTTGCCTAGTCCTGTTAACATCTGGCTGTGTTTTCTAATTTTGGAACAGACACAGTAGCACACTTTAGGTTTTGTTTATATTTCACCCTGTTCTAAATTGTGTCTAGTATTTTATCACTAACAATCAAAAACACAGTGACTCCATCTTTCATTGTTATGCTCTAACCAGTAGGCTCACTGGGTCACCATAAGATCAGAAATTTCTGCATCCCAGGAGTTGAGAAACACTACCCTGGTGCTGCTATTTATGACTACTAGGGGGAGCAAGGATAGGTAGAGAGACAAAGATGCATAGAGAGATATGATGAGACATTGAGGACAGCAGTGCTGTGCCGTATTAGCTACAGTTAACCTAGTTGATGTTACACTGTGGGAAGGACACAGAGCTGGATGAGGACAAGATGCACTGACAGCCTGGGGTCAGAGATATATATAGTCTGTGTGGATTCCTGTGTGCAGCATAATCCCATTTTGTCAGATTTCGTTGTTTCATTTGTCTGTTGGCACAGTTGGAGTATATACATATTTAAAGAATGAGTAGACCGATCACAGTCCAACATTATTATTTCACCACCATTAGACAACTATAAACTCCTGAATGCAAAGTAGCACTAAAACTAATCAGGTGCTGTTTGTTTGTGCAAGACCAAAACACAGAGTTGACAAGACATTACCACTGGTTGTCAAGTGCTTAGCTTTTTCAAAGCAGGACGCTACCCACAGTTTCATTCCCGCTCCACACACTCTGCTGGTTTAAAAAATGCAGCTAAATGGGCACAGAGAGCAGCCGTGGAGGAGGGGGGCTCTAACCACCTGCACCCACGCCCACTGCAGGGAAGATGGAGAGTGATACATAATCCCACTGAATGTGGAGGCACTGGCAAGTAAAAAAAGTTAGATGCTGCAAAGATTTACACAGGGAAGTAGTTTACATTTTTTAACATTTAAGCACTTGTGTTAATCCAAGACATAGACAAGGACTACACACAGACAGCAGACCTGCACACACCTCTATACACACTACATATGAGGCCATATTTCAAACATGCGCATTAGAAAGCATGAGAACTCCCTTTCTTATTGTGTTTGGCTGAACTACATAAAACAAAGTAAAAGAAAAAGAGGAGATAGTTTATGCAGCAGCTTCACAAGAATAGGGCATCACATGGAGCTTTGCAGAAAGGCAAAGGCAGAACCAGGAGTTGGCCTTTACTTGCTGCTTCTAATTCTTTACTGTTAAGTACGTGACACTGAAATGTTACTCATATCTCTCTTCTCGCTGCAAAGTGTATTAACACACAGCCCTCACTCCTCTTGGAAGGCTTTAAACAAGATTTTTAAACCAGGCTGCAGGGATTTGCTGCTATTCAGCCCCAAGAGCATTACTGAGGTTAGCCAGCTCACAGTCAGCATTCCAATTTATCCCCAAGGTGCTGGATGTGTTTCAGATGAGGGCTCTGTGTTTATACCAGTCAGATTTTTTTCACACCACATTTTTACTGACCATGTTTTGTACATAGGGGCTTTGTCATTTTGAAACAAATAAGGGTCTTTACAAAACTGTTGTCACAAAGTTGAAGCACACTCTTGCCTGTAATATCGGCGTATGCTGTTGCAGTTGCTGTTTCGATCCTTGAAGTGGTTATAACGAACATTTTCTAACAGTAATGTATCAAATGTGGCACTGTGAAACAAACGAGATTGAGAAAGAAGGTGCTCACCAAGGCAAACAGTATAGAAAACGGTCACTTCATCAGCTTTATAGTAAGATTTAACTCATTGTTAAGTTGTCAGCCCAATGACTTTACTGTTTTGTTTGCTCTCACAGAGTCATTTTTAACTGCAGCAAACAGCTTTTCACAAGGAACACCCACTGTATACTTCCTGTCCAGCATCAAACAGCAGATAGACACAGTTAGAGACTGGAACTGGATGGTAAGCATAGTGGAGCATACAGCAGTCAATGAGTCACATTTTTTTCCTAAAGAACTGGTAGTGACTACAAACTGCTAAATG